AAGAAAGTGCTTTTGCGCAGATAAGGCGTATTGTTTATCAAACATAGAAATTACACATTTCTTGTCAGCATTCTTTCTTTTTACGTAGTACGAGCGAAAATATTTCCTGCTTCTCCAAAAATTGTCCTAAACTACTTACTTATTTTCTGAGTAGCAAAATGGGTGTGACAGGGTTGTATTAGTATGCACTTTAAACACAATTGACAGATATCCCGTGCCAAAGATACGTAAAAACATTAATCGCTTTTCTTACAGTCTGTGTGCTGATTATTACATAATTTTTCACATAATATTGATAAAAATTAGTAATCAACATTACCAGACACTTTCCATAGGTGGTAATTTCTGCCAGATCCTTCAAAGTTGGCAAAAGAAATCGTAATTATACTTACAGTCTGAGTCTTCATTTTTAAATATAATGCTTAGATAACTATTTAAATATTTTTTGTAAGCAACCAGATCAATTGTAGGACCCAAACATCCCCAGATACAATTAAAAAGTCATGTTGAGTGTAAACGCAAGCGCGATGATTAGATGGCTTTGTAACACTACATTTTAATTGTGTCTAGGGGATGTTTGACCTCTACAATTGGTTTGACTGCTTACAAAAAGTATTGAAATAATTCCCTATATATCATATTTAAAAATGAAGAGTCAGACTATAAGTAAAATTACGATTTGTTTTGCGAACTTTAATGGATCTGGCAGAAACTACCGCCGATAGAAACTGTCTTAGAACCTGATATCAGTAAATTGGACGTGGGCCCAAGTTAGCAGATATGCATACGTTCAAAGTACATTTACGTACCAATTGTAGGACCTATAATATATTACTTTATTATTTATACGAATTTTAACGATTGCATATAACAATATCCCTAAGTTCGGTTCTCAATTCGCCTTGTACTTTGTGAAATTTTGAAAACATCCTTCGTACTTCAGTTATTATTATGAATGTAATTTTAGGCAAGAAATTCATTTTACTTTTAATTTGGATTCGGTGATTAACCTTCCCAAAGCTCATTCAAACATAAATAACATCAATGTCGACCACCTTGGTGTTAAGTAGAGGTCTATAGAACTAAAGAAAAATTTCATTGTGCATGCTTGCTTCAAGTATAGTAAAATGTTTATAAAATTATTTTTAAATTACCAACATTGCTTTTCATATTTTACATCAAGGTGAATGCTTTTGTACAAATATTCCTAGCGGCAGATATTTAGCGTTACTATTGTCTGTAATGAGTATAAAAGTTCCAATAATTGCAGATGATTTCAAATAGAAGGACAACGACCAAATGTTACATTGAACGAAGAAATTTATAAATTTACCGCTTTGAACATATTTTATACGGAATACGTAAAAAATCTTTAAACAAAAATTAATAAATCAAAAGTATGAATATATTACACCCATTTCTAAACACCCTCGATATGTCTTTGTTAATGTACCTATTGTTGTGGAAGTGTGTACATTAACAATATTATTATTTATTTCACCCATTGTATTTACGTATATGCATATACCTTTGAAACTGGTGTAGGTAGGTATACAATGATTCTAAGGCGTATTTTTGTTTTAGAAACCTGGCTAACAATTTCATCACGTCTATTCCCATGGGCGTTTTTCCAGAGATGAAAAATCTTATAGTGCTGTAAGTTACTTCTTTAATTAAATGTTATGTAAGTAGTTCGTAACTTCCTGAAGCAGTTTATTATAGTCAAAGCTTAACTATTAAAAACAAAAATAGGCCAATACCGCTGTTTCTGATTAATCTATTCACGCAAATCAATTTTCATAAAGGAAATCGATTCTAACAAATATACGTACGATTTAATACTCCAATTGTAGCTATAGTATTCGTCTATGATTCGTTTATGTATTTATGTTTTAATGTTTTGTATACGCAACGAATTAGGAGATATATTAGAGAAGGAAGATAATGTGGAGATAGATGAGCTAGGTTATCTCATAATGAAAGAAGAGTTCGATGTAGCATTAAAAAACTTAAAGAATAATAAGGCGCCATGTGTATATGGGATACAGGGGCAAATTCTAAAACATGCAGGACAAGAAGTTAGAGATCGTATCTTTAAGCTAGTTGGTCACATTTACGAGACAGGGAAAATTCCAGAGGATTATAAACGGAACGTGGTGGTAACCATACCTAAAAAGAGAGACGCGGATAGGTGCGAGACATTTAGAACAATTAGCTTAACTTCCCATGCGTCAAAAATCTTAACTAGAGTTGTACAAAGTAGGATGGAAAAAAGAGAGGGAGAACTATTAGGAAAAGATCAATTTGGGTTTAAAAGAAATAGAGGAACGCGGGAGGTCATTTTAGCTTTACGTGTAACAATAGAGAAAACGATAGAAAAAGGAAAGACTGCGTGCATAGGATTTGTAGATTTAGAAAAAACTTTTGACAATGTTAAAAGGGACAAAATGTTAAATATACTTTAGCAAATGTAGGGATGAGTTACAAAGATAGAAGAGTGATACTTAGTATAAAGAACAACAGGCAGTTATAGAGCTAGAGATGCAACGTAGAGAAGTAAATATTAGGAAAGGAGTCAGACAGGGATGCACACTATCACCGCTACTTTTTAATCTATACATCGAAAACGCGATCAATATCATTAAAGACAGTACAACTGTAGGGCTACATACTATATATAAATATATTAGTATACTTAGATTTACAGATGATATAGCAGTATTAGTATCTAGCAAGGAGGACTTAGAGATAACGTTAAATAAAATGAATGCGGTACTGACAAAACAGTACTGTATGAAAATAAATAAAAGTAAAACAAAAATTCTGATATGCAAGAGAAGAAAAAATAGGGAAAGAGCGAATATAAAGATAGGAGATGAAGAATTAGAAGAAGTGGCTAATTTTAGATATCTAGGAAGTGAGATAAGTCAGGACGGAAGGGGTAGTAGAGATATAAAGCAGAGGGTCGTGTCGCCTTTAATAAAAAGAAGTCACTTTTATGCTCGCGAACGGTTAATTTAGAAATTCGAAAAAGATTGTTAAAGGTGTATGTTGCGTTGTACGGGTGCGAAACATGGACAGTGGCTGCGGCAGAAAAGAAAAGGTTAGAAGCGTTCAAAATGTGGTGTTACAGGCGTATGATGTGGATACCGGGGATAGAGAAGGTTAGAAATGAAGAGGTAGAGGTATTAGAAAGAATAGGAGAACAGAGGAGTCTATGGAAGTTAATAAGGAATAGGCAAGATAGGTTGGTAGAACGCCTTCTCAGGGATGATGGTCTATTCTGTTTAATGTGAATCCAAAGGCGTCTCTTATTTTTTTTCATTTTATAAATGCTCTTCTTTAACCGGAATAATAGCAATAATCGTTAAATTTTCATCGGACCACATATTTTTGCAACCAGTTTCACATAACCTGCTTCCATAGTCTGCTGATACGGAATGAAAACGTTACGTTTAAGTGTGAACCCTGGATTTCTTTTACGGAAGGGATATGAAATGGAAACGGAATGTATAGTGAAATCAACCTTAAGCTGGAAAGTACGTTACAAGCATACCACACTGGTCACCAGGAAATTTAATAATACAGACTATGTTGATGATGCACACATAGTTTTGTTTTAATAATATAATAAATTCGACTATTGTTTGAAGATAGTTAGGGATGTGACATTTTTGGGAAATCTAAAGATTGATTCAAGTTAGAAAGGAGAAGTGGTGAGCGTCTAATCAGTATTCGGGGTGACGACCCTTTAGTGATGATGATAACTTTTAATTTTTATTTTTATTACGCTTTAAATAGTATGACTGAATCTTATAATTTTGCGAAAAATTAATTATAACCGCCTTAATAATAACGTAAGGATAAAAGTGAGTCGTTAAAATTCACAAAAGGCTGATGATGATTATTATTATTCTACGTTAGTGGAATTTGTCAGTATTTAATTTTATTGAATTGAGTGAAAAGTGATGAAGAGAATGAGAGACGATAGGCTGAGGAGTCTTTGGCTTTTATCCGTATTGTTTAGTATCCGCGCTAAAATTAATTACTCTTAAGTGAATCGTGTCTTGAACCCGAAATTTCTTCTTAAAAGGCTTTGTTATTGCGCCATTAAAAAGAAATTAAGCCAAACGGTTGTCTATCATTATACGTCTGACGTATTTGTAAAGCAATGATATTTTGTCAACACAACATATTAAACGTTCAGTTCTTTTTATTGAGAAAAACTGAGGAAATAACGATCAAATAAGAATAAAAATCTTGTAATAAGGGTTGTTTACAGCTTTTTAATGGAGAACATTTCTTAAAGCGCAGAAAGTGTTTTAGGAATCATTTCTTCCTAAGAAGTAAATAATTGAATAAAAAATTACATAAAATAGGAAACTAAATTAATTAAGTCAGTTGAAAAGTAACTGAATGAAAATAATTATTAATAAATTTTCAGCTACAAGGTAATTTGAAGAAAAACAATTTCTTATCATGATGAATTGTTTTGGCACGAAATCCATCCATTAACTACTTTTATTGCAATTGATTTTTATGGATATTATGAAGTTGGATTTAGTTAGTTTATGTTTACCACAGATAGGTTTCAGAAATTTTTAAATAGGCTACTGGTAAAATTGGAATTTAGTATCTACTTACCTGTTGGGTTAGTAGGTCAATTAGTTACCGTTTAAATAGAAGAGTTATTAATATAATCGAGTGAGTCGAATCTAAGATCACAAGGAAGCAAATAATGCAGGGTGGTGAGGCGCATTACTGTCTTCACTCACCCTGTGATAGTTTCCTACTATTTTCTACGTTCCTCAATTATATAATATGGTAGGCTAATGTTATTAATTAATTATTGAATTATTTATTGGTAATAGTTAAATTATTGTTTGAATAAATTGTTTTTATCCTCTAGCTAATATGAAATTGTTAAATAACTAACTGATTCTAAATTGTATAAATTAACTTTTAATATTATATTAAACTAATTTGTTGTTATATTATAACAATATCCTGGCGGATTTCGTGAGCTCAGTAATAGGAAAACTCAAATTTTATTTTTGTTTGTAAGTTTAGACATAGAAGATAATCTCCTAAATAACTCATCCGATTTCAAGAATTCTTTCACCAATATTTAGAACGGGTCTTCAGGGTGGAGATATTGTTATTATAATATTAACGGTGGAGATAAGTTGTATATTATCTATTTTACACTAATATTATACAGAGGTAAAATTTGTAAGTTGGATATAGGAGGTAATCTCTGAAACTACTCATTCGATTTCAAAAATTCGTTCACCAACATTTAGAATGAAGCTTCAAAGTGGGTATAGGAGCTTTTCGTGGAGACCAATTCTGCAATGTAATTACGAAAAAACCTTCAGGCGATTACGTATATCGCATCTATAAAATATTCAGGTTAATTTACAAATTGATTAAATGTAATTCATATAGTCCAAGAGGATGAAGCTATGAAGTACATAGCTATTAATGTATAAACATTTAAAGAATTTCCAAACTTTCACCTCAGAAACAGCGGTTCCCGAATTTCTCTTTACTCAAAAACGAGTGTAACAAACAAACATTTCAAAATTAATAAAAGTTACTACTAATTTATGTTCTTCGGTGGGAGATATTTTTGTCGTCTGTCGGGTTTATTGCATCAACTGGAAAAAAACGTAAATCTGAACATCTAAATAAGCGCCCGGAAATAAAATATTTCAGATAAACTCTGTGTTGTCTTTATTCCAGTTTCGAGGTCCGCGACCTCTGCAAAATTGAAGTTTTATTTATGAGAAACTTGCGCACCGCATCGTGCATATCTCTGCCGTAGTTTGTCTCTTGTGTCTTTTCTTTACATATTTGTGTGTTTTTATGTGTGAGTCCGCGAACCCTTCTTGCATTCCATCTGCATTCATCCGGGAACTAGATAAGAGGGAGAGTAACTTATTTGGAGTGAAGAATTGGGCGCAGAGATTAGGTATGTACGCCTCGTTCTTTCTCCGCTTTATTGCCAATGGCGTCATTTCAAGTGCCAGCGATTTTTATTTGCTCCAACCATCCAATACTCGAAAATTCTCCAACTATTGGAATACTTCTTGAAGTTTTAAGTTCCTCGCGGTTGCTATTACATGAGATAACAAAATCGTTTGGTATCCTTGATAGCAGCCTTTTGTTGGCTGATAAAAAAACTGGAGCAAGTCGGGAATCTCATTAAACTTCAAGCCGAGACATATTGAAAGCATTTTAAAAATAACTGTTAAAAGCGGATTTAGACTAAGTGAATAAGAACAAGGCGTCGTAAACATAATTTTCCCTAAATACAAGCGGGTACATAGCAAGACCTTGAATAATATTTGTAATAATTGAAAATGTATACCTACTTTATTTTTAGAGTTGTCTTGATTGGGACAATAAAAACAAGTCGGTAAAGAATTGTTAAATAAATAACCATAACTAGCGTATTAATCATCACCGGTAGGTATTTTCCTGAAAAAGTGACGATTTATACAACAACCTGACATTTTCATTTATTTTTTAAATCACTTTTTTATGCTTTGTAAAAGTGACATAATATTTTGTTTTCATTGAATTTATTGAAACAATATAATGACTGCCCTCAAAGCATATTTCATGTCCCACCATGCAGTGCTAGTGTACGGTTAAACCCTTTGGTCTACACCCTAGTGCAAAGCCAAAAGCTAAGGCGGGAGACCTCACTGAGCTTCCATTGAGGCATCATGGGTGACGAGTTAGATGAGTGTTCTCCTGAAACTTCCTTTTTTAAATTAACAACGTTGTAAACAAATGCATATATATTTGGCAGTGCAATTAGTCATCATCATAAGGTCGTCAGTCCTAAGACCAGTTGGACACGCACCTGCACTCTTTCTCCTATCTTCCCATTTCCCTAAAACTAGAACAACCCACATCCTTAACTATTTGCGAACAGTAATCTAATCTAGGCTCACCTCTACCCCTCTCAACTCCCGTTTCTCCCAAATTTCGAACGCTTCTAACCTTTTCTTTTCCGCAACGCCCTAAACATACACCTTTAACAATCTTTTTCGAATTTTTAGTAGAGAACATTAAATTGAACGCCCAAAATAACTATATTTGCTTACTGCCTGTAATTTGATTCTGAAAACTCAATAAATGTTAATAAAACAACTTGCTCATGATACCTTTTGTATGTTAAGATTTTACATATAAGAATTCCTTTTGCCTAGTGTTTTATCTCGCAACGAAAATCGCTTTCGCTGTTCTTTCCGGAAAACGTTTACTTCCTATATTATTTTATTGTCTATCGCAGTACCGTTGTTTTTTGTTAATTCTAAATCTCTGGTCCACTTTGCCAACGAAATGATAATTGTCATTATTAAATGATTCAAGTTGTTCTTTCCCCAGATTTGGACCGTGCACCGTTCCAAAACGATAAGAATTGAATTATTAAGTGTACGAAATTTGAAACGGTTATCGGATTGAATTTTAATTTAGCATCAATATGTATCCACTAACAGTGTAAGCAACAGTTGTTGATAGTGTTATACGCTCTCAACATTTTCAATTTTACCATGAATGGCAACAATCAACCCAGACTTTGAGCAAAATTAAATAAATAATTTACTGTCGATGCCACTTACAGAGCGCCAAAGAGCGAATATAAAGATAGGAGACGAAAAATTAGAAGAAGTGGCCGATTTTAGGTATCTAGCAAGTCAGATAAGTTAGGACGGAATGTGTAGTAGGGATATAAAGCAGAGGATAGAGCAGGGTCGTGTCGCCTTCAATAAAAACAAGTCACTTCTATGCTCGCGAACGATTAATTCAGAAATTCGAGAAAGGTTGTTAAAGGTGTATGTGTGAAGCACGGCACTGTACGGGTGCGAAACATGGACAGTGGGTGCGACGAAAAAAAAGGTTAGAAGCGTTCGAAATGTGGTGCTAAAGGCGAATGATGAGGATACCGTGGATAGAAAAGGTTAGAAATGAAGAGGTATTAGAAAGAGTAAGTGAACAGATGACTCTATGGAAGTCAATTCAAAATAGGCGAGATAGGCTAGTAGGACACCTTCGTAGGCATGAAGGCAGAAACGGAAGTTAGGAAGGGTAGAGGTAGGCCTAGATTAGATTACTGTTTGCAAATAGTTAAGGATTTGGGTTGTTCTAGTTTTAGGGAAATGCGAAGATTAGTTCAGGATATGAAAGAGTGGAGGTGCGTGTCCAACCAGTCTTAAGACTGACTACCTTATGATGATGATGTCGTTGCCACCTAGAAAGACGTTTCAAAGTATTCAAGCTTACATATCATTGAAAGTTTTGGTTTATTTTTTTGTCTTTCAATATGTCAATCGGCCTATCTTTTACAAATATTCTGAAAGAAATATTTTATTTACCATTAGTGGGAAATAAAGGAACATTTAAGTAGACTATCGTAATGTATCGTAGTAGTTGCCATCTTTAAAATATACTCCATAATAGCAACAGTTGATGCTTTTAATTTATCCCATAATAATAGTTAGTAAAAAACATAAACGTAGAAAGCAACATTTATCATAAAAAATTGTTTAAAAATAATAGGTAAATGATTATCTGGATCAGAAGAACAACAACTTTATGCTGATTTTCAATGTCATTAGTTTAGCTGTATCAGAAATTAATTGGTCTCGGGAGACTAACTAATTCCTGATAAGACATAAAAAGAGGTACTTTATGATATCCAGTGTCACTTACTGTACAGTTCTACGATACATGTACGTTATTATCCTTCTTCTTGGTCAGAAAAGTCTGACCAGCGCCGGAAGTCACGCTTCGCGCATCTATTTCATATAATAAAGGACCATGCACACGAGCGTAGATGATTTACGAAAGTTGTCAGAGAATTTACTTCCAATAAGAATGTGCTCGTATTTAGGCTGTATACGATATACATATTGAATATAAAAGGAACAAAATGGATGATTTATAAGATGTTTATCAAATAGCCTGACAGCCATTCAATAGAAATCGAATATTAGGGTGAGCTCTCAATTTTCCCTGCTTCAAGTAAAATTGGCTGTCATGCAATCTTAGGGTATTAAGAGGCTGAATCCTATAACACCACAGAACAATAAAAATAATAAGTCGACGTCGTCATCGTCGACCATTTTGTTCTTTGGTAATTTGGTATCTCCCTAGCGAACACACTCTACCGAGACTGCGAACTAAGCTGAGAATCGCTGAAGATGAATTCACGATAAAATATGGAGTGCAAGCCTGCCTTCTGGCACCGTCTATAATTTTTCTGGTCAGAATTTCTGAAAATGTGGGGTCATCCTCAAGCTAGCATAATAAAGCAAAGACGGAAAACCAAATATATCAGAATGGAAATTATTAAAATAGATAAGTATCTTTTCGACGGCTTATTTAAATTCAATGACGAAGCTAAAGTGTTTCAATCTTTTCGTGAAAGATTTCACTTCAGGAACTTATTGGAAAAAACTTAATAAATTTTCATTCATTATCAATGTAATTTTGGCTTTTGGCTTTGCTCTTGCAATTATCTTCAAAAGAGAGGAAACCGGAAATTGAATAATTGAATTTTTCGTAAATATTCCAGATTGTTAGTTCTCTCATAGTTTTAACATTATTGAGTACTTGGTTTAATTCCAGATCTATCTAGCCTCTCCTCGTCCATGTTTTTCTATGGTTTCGTTCCATCATTTAAGCAAACGCGAGGGGCAGTAATATTTAACAGATAATATTTTTCATTTATCATTTGTCCTCATTTTATCAATTTCGTCTTTCTCTTTTAGTGTCTTTTAATGGTAATATTATTTAAAATACTAACTAAGAAAACACTAATGAAAACAAATAACAATTTATATACAAACAAAAAGAAAACGGAAGCACAAGTAGCAAAAAGACACAAGGAGAATGAAACAAACATACAAGAACAAAGTGACAAAAAGAAGAAGATAATACAACAGTAACATTAACAAAGACAACAACATAAAAACAATGTAGATAATAGCAGAAACACTTACATGCTCTAGTAGACTGTGGATTGTCTAAAGATATGTTTTTTTTTTATATTTTCATGGAAGAGATCAAAAGACACCAACCGTTCGTACGACTAGATAGTGCCGAACCACTTAGGTCCTCTTCAGTCGTGTGTGTGTGTGTGTGTGTGTGTGTGTGTGTGTGTGTGTGTGTAGAGGGGGTTGAGAAGTCTTTCGTAATAGTTTGTGTATTCTTCAGGGAGATCTAGAGTGATCGCCAGAAGTTTGGCAGGAAGGAAGGGGATCTTGTTCTTACATTTTTCGGAGTATTTACATGATTTATTTATATGTTATAAAATATACATTTTTCCGTCACACTCTCAAATACCTTCAACACATTTCCAGGGCTTTCCGTTGTGCCGTACGGTTTTAATCTGGTAGGAGCTGGTAAAAAGGAAATATGCAACAGTTTTTATAAATCTTTTAGTGTAATATACCACCTGAATGATTACGATGTAGGAAAGCAATTGCATTTTATCTATAAACTAGCATAAATTCCTATTTATTCAAAACACATTGTGGACCCTACCATCTACGAACAAGTTTCGCAATTTCTCTGTATATAGAGTCCCGTCATATAATAGTCCAGGCTTTACATATATATCAGAAGATGGACGTTATCCCCTATTCGTGTCTATGCTTTTATAACTCCGTCGGATTTATGCTAATGGCCGGGATGAATTGGAGGTAATTAAGATGTCGTCAGAGGCTAATTAAAACGCCGACAGGGTCTGTAAACAGGCCGTTTTCGGTGCGAGATGATGGCTGTTGAATTGAATCGTTTTGTTAAGCGCTTGATAAAATCGAGGAAGCCAAAACGGTTACTCAAAAATGGGACGTAAAAATATTAAGAATTAAAAATATCGATAGAGTGTTTACGTTTTCATATTTTATATATATTATTGATGCTAAACTTAGTGCTAGATGGAAATTAAATAACTGATCTCATTTTCGTCAGACGTCGTAATTTATTCGCGACTCAGAACTATAGTTAGATTTTTATTTTTATAAAAGTTCGCTGATTTTTGAAATCCAGTATTATACCTAATACGAGATGACTTCTGGGATCTAGTGACTATGTATTTAGTTGTATGAACATATGCTGGGCTAATTGTAATACCAATATGTTAATTAAATTAACGACGTTCCAGCCTAGAACCCAGCGTTAATTAGACGTAATACATCGAAATTATTCAACCACAGAATATTTAGCATTTATATCATATGTTTACATTTAGTACTTGTGACCTACTGAGACGCCTAGCCCCGATCGACTTACAGATTTGTGACTTAACAATTTTATTTTTCTTGAAATAAATGGCATATAAACGACCCAAGTATTAATGTAATGTTCGTGGGTTTAATATAGTTAACTTCTAAGACTGATAACGACAAAAACTATTTATTTACACTAATTATTAACTTAANTTAGAATTATTGCAACAATTACCGTGGAAACTACCCTGGTGTAAAATTAATGAAATATTGCATTTGCGTTATCGACTTGGTCTGCTCTAACTACGAATTAATTCAAAAGTAATGTTAAAGTTAGATATATAGGTACAATTTGATTTATGGCTTTATATTCTTTGTTAAACTGTACAACGGCTGTTAACAAAAATTCTTGATGACCAGTGTTCTATCAAAACTGCCATTCGTGTATCGCTAGTAAGATCTCATTGGACCACATCAGCACATTTTAGATAGTATTCCTGCATAGCACAATAACTTATCTGCCACCATTAAACATTGCTGTAATACGTATCATAAGTAAACTTATTTGTTTTCATATGTAAACTTGTTATTTTTTGTTACAGACTATTCAAAAGGAACCAAATAGCTGAAATTTCAGATGGAGCGTTCGATAATATGACATCTTTAAAAGTCCTGTAAGTATTTATTTGTATAAATTATAAGTACTGGTTTAAAAATTAAACTGTAAAGCTACAAAATATAATTAAATAATGTACAATAATTGCTAGTCTTATTCTTGATAACCGATTTTACAAGGTGTAGTTTTGGTTCCCGTATTTTGATAATAGGTACCATGGTCAAAACCACAACATTATAATGGAATTCGTTCATCCCTTACTTTAGAGTTTCAACAAGAAGAAAAGAAGACAGTAGTTTTCTCTAGCACACCTTTTATGATTAAAATTTTTGTACCTTTAAATTAACAATGACGTTAAGATATAGTTTTTATATTTAAAAATATGTTCCATATTGCTTTGGTGTAAATTGGTCAGAGTTGCCCTTATTTCAAGGCGTCTTTTGTTTTTGATTTGAGACATTATTCAGTTTTGCATATTTCGCTATGAGCACAGATAAAAAATCATGGCAATTTCCCAAAATAACGACGTCTTTATTATCGATAGTTCCAAATAATCGAAGGGTGGCCGATATCAATATATTATGTGTGGGAGACTTTTATAGGGGTAACGAAATATTTGGGTAATAATTTTTATTCGAAGTTGCAACATTATGCCATCGGCGGAAGCTTAATCATCGCATTTTTTACTGTTGTTTTGATGGTCTTCGTATCATGAAAAGTGGAACAAATTACTCCACTCATCCCCTGTTATAATATCGACATCAGCCATAAAACATCCTGAATACATTCTAAGAGAGATCCTATAAATCCTCGACGTCCATTTGCCTCCCGTTTTTACCTTCACTTGAATTTATTATACTTTCTTATTCCTAGAAGAATTATAGACATATAAAATTACTAATCGTAAGTATATCGGATTGTCATTTGGACCGTTAAACTAATTTATATGGTCATTAAACGGTATCTTAAGCCGATGTTCAGATTAGTGTTATTCGATGATGTTATCCAAGATGGACATACAACCTGTCATGCTATTTGATGGGTCCTTAATCTTATGGGCCGGCTGTACTACTCTGTTTTAATGATTAATCGCTGTGATTAGGATAACCCGATAAATACATATGCGTATGAAATACTTTTCGAATAATGTGCTATACAGGGTGAATCATGAGACATTTATCTTGAGGCAATGCAATGCCTTGATTGGTTCCCATTATTTTGGAAATAGTTTTACATGAAAGTTGTATGGTTTCAAAAGAGAGGTTAGTTTGTTATCTTGAGTGTAATAGAAATCAAAAGAGCGAATCATTTTGTAATCGGAAGTATCCTTGAAGTAGATTTTACTTAATTCTTCAGTTCGTATTTATGAGAAATTAAGAACAACCAAATATAGGATATATGTATCTTGAATGAATCACTTTAAAAAAGTGTATGTTTTCAAAAGAATGGTGCACTTTGAGTGTAGCTCAGTTGTGGAATGAGAGGGAAATTTTTAATCAGATAAAAGTACCCTTGAAATTGATTTGATCTTAATTTATTTATTAATCGATATCAAGTGTATTTTTAATTACAAAATTTTTCGCTCTTACTACTGCTAGGGTGAAAACTATGCATTCCCATTAAATAAAAAATTTGATCTTCAAATGTTCTTTTAAGGTCTAAAATGTTTTACGAAATAATTAATTCATTCAAGATATTTTATTATAGATATTTGGTTGTTCTTATTTCAAGAGAAACTCAACTTCAAGGATACTTCCAACTGAAATGTTTCCGTTCTGTCTATTGCAGGGGCAAAAATACATCTACATTCCCATTTTAATAAAGTGATTTGTCGACCCTTAAGGTCAATGTCATATCCAAAATTGTCCGCCGAGTGCTTGCAACTTTTATCTAAAACTTTTTCAAAAATAATAAAAATGAGATCCATTCAAGGTATGTATTTGATTGCTTCAAGATAAATGATTCACCCTGTATAGTTTCCATATATTCTGCTGAAGCATATGTGCCTACATATATAATATTGTTAAAGACGTATACTCTGTTATTAATTAGAAAGAGAAATTTCGATCTCCAATCTACATCTAATTATCTATCTTGCAACTAGAATCTTAGGGAAAGTATAAATAATGTGAATCAAGAAAATGTATGAAATGTAGAATATTACCTACGAATTAAAACGATAAATAACAACATTAGTATATTTAGTGATTGAAGCATTTTCACCAATTATTTATTCTATTAAATTATGCTAATATAAAATATAGTTCTAATTATATTTTAGACAACATTACGATTTATAGCCTTAATTTAAGACAAAGCCTTTAGAATTATTGCAACAATTACCGTGGAAACTACCCTGGTGTAAAATTAATGAAATATTGCATTTGCGTTATCGACTTGGTCTGCTCTAACTACGAATTAATTCAAAAGTAATGTTAAAGTTAGATATATAGGTACAATTTGATTTATGGCTTTATATTCTTTGTTAAACTGTACAACGGCTGTTAACAAAAATTCTTGATGACCAGTGTTCTATCAAAACTGCCATTCGTGTATCGCTAGTAAGATCTCATTGGACCACATCAGCACATTTTAGATAGTATTCCTGCATAGCACAATAACTTATCTGCCACCATTAAACATTGCTGTAATACGTATCATAAGTAAACTTATTTGTTTTCATATGTAAACTTGTTATTTTTTGTTACAGACTATTCAAAAGGAACCAAATAGCTGAAATTTCAGATGGAGCGTTCGATAATATGACATCTTTAAAAGTCCTGTAAGTATTTATTTGTAAGAATTTTTCATTGTGAAAAATTATTTTCCAATCCAAATTCAAAGAGTTTTTTTCTCGAAAACAATTACTACTGTAAATATAATTGAATCCTGTGAAAGCAGAAAAAATTAGAAGTAATGTCGAATACTTAATCAAAACTTAAAAAAGAATAATAATGAATAAATAAAATAGTATCCGGAATAGGTAATTAATTAATTTCTCAATTTACGATTTATTCAGTTGTCTGTTAATAGAGACTCTTCGAACACAAAACAAAATTATTTGTTTATATTTTAATACCTCGCTAACTTTTAGAGTAAACTCATGCATAAAAGTTTTTTAATATACTTATGTAGGCTCTAATGTTCAGTCGGAATTTGGGGAAGTTGTACAGTTACATAGATTCTTTTTGATAATGACATTAATCTTCCAAATGCATCAGATTTATCAATAAATCCGATTGTGAAACTAAACCAGAGTTTTATTGTAATATTTTCTGAAAAGAAGACAGTAGTTTTCTCTAGCACACCTTTTATGATTAAAATTTTTGTACCTTTAAATTAACAATGACGTTAAGATATAGTTTTTATATTTAAAAATATGTTCCATATTGCTTTGGTGTAAATTGGTCAGAGTTGCCCTTATTTCAAGGCGNAAGAAATAATTAAATTTCTAATAATTTTCTTAGACCTTTTAATATACTATCAAAGCAGCCCCTATTTATTAATTTTCCCTTTTTGTATTTAGGGAATTGGACGACAACCTCCTCACTGAAATACCCTTAGCAATAACCAAGTTACCATCTTTACAAGAGTTGTAAGTATTTACTTACGTCAACCCATTCATGTAAAAAAATTAAATCGAATTTGTTGAGTGCTTAAACTCTCTCACTTGCTAGCAGCAACTTTTTTTATAGTATATTCTTTATAATTAAGGGCCTAAATACGTATTTAAGTAAGCACTGCAAAGAAAAGCTACTCTTAAAATAAAGTACTATATTTTACCGTTTTGATTTTGTTTTTGATTACATAGAGTTTTATAATCAATTTAGTATGAAAGCATTCTTTTCACTATATCTTCATTTAGCTATTGTCGCTAAATTTTTCTTTTCTTTTGTGGATGTTCCAAGTTTTTGTGTCCGGAAAATTATCAATTCAAGGAGTTTAAATGGTTACTCCAAATGACTCACTCAAACAAAAAAAAAGAAAGAATGAAACGAGTTTAACTTTCAAAGCAAAAAGAACGGGGTATTTTACCGCCATTTTTTCTTAATTGTACTCGTAACTTAATGCTTGAGCCCTTTGCTATTAAACTTTTCTTTTTCTTTTACAACTGAAAGTATTCTTTTAGGGTCGTCTAAATGAATAATTCGTTATTAGTTTTTAAATTCAAATTAATTCATTTCCATTATAAATTATTTAGGAATCTTAATTTAATATTTGACAATAATAATTTTCCCTCTTTCTGGTTTATTTGCCTAATTTTCATTTAAATGCTTTAATTTCCGGTGGCAAAGACTCGGTTTTATTCAAATTTATTTTAGCAAACACTTTTACTCGTCTTCAAGATGGATCTTTGAAAATATTTTCTTAAAGAATTAGAAAAGAACTTTGTTGTTGTTTGTTTTCCTTTTTATGGTAAATACTTCATTTTCATTAAAATCATAGTTCAGTTATATTCTGTTATAAAACTGTTCAAGCGTTCTTGAGTAAGGCGATGTTAGCATCATGAAATCACATTTTATTTTTTGCAAATTGACTTTTTAATTAGCATGCAATAACTTAAAAAATTAACCTCAAATATAGCATTGCCCCAGCTACGTCAATTAGCAATAATAAATTATTAATTATTATGTAAGGTAGTTTTGCCAAAAAATAATTTACGGTAAAATGACAATAAATATTATACAAATCAATAGTTGACAACAGTGAAACAAAGGCTTTAAAATCACATAATTCAGTTATAAAACCCATTAGCAAGTAGATAAGCATCTATTTAAAAGGCATTTGTTAAACATATTGAATTCAACTACATATAGCATTGTACTACAGAGGGCGTTTATCGCTGCTTTTGTAGGATTTCAAAAAACCCCTTTAACACAATTGTTCCATGACATTTCATTTTTAAATAAACCCAAACGTTTTCAGTCGATGCGACGCATGGTGAACAGCTACCTTGATCAACGTATTTAGTGTGCAATAAAACTTTTATAAATTTTTTATTTAGCTCTACCAGACTATATTAATTTTCTGTAGAGCTGTTCCTATACATATGCATAAGTAGTAATATTTTAATTGTCGTTTATGCATGTTTATTGGTTCGACGTTAATGAACTCATTATCCAATTATACAAAAACTAACTATATGTGCGGAATAGGCAAATAATTATTCGTATTTTGAATTATTTATTCAATTTTCATTTCAAAGCTTCCGACATGACGCGAGCTTATTTGTTTTGGCAAGAGAACCGATTTAGAGTCAACATTTGCTGTTCTTGATGGTGAGATGGCGTTCTTAATACGATTTTTCTCTTAAAAAGCTATTAAAGAGAGATATTATGTACACAATGTCTGCCACAATGTAAAGCTACATTAACGATGAGCCATTATTTTGATCCAAGATGGTTTGCATATGCTGGTACCATGTACCTATTATACAGAGTGTTTTTGAATTAGTCGATATAAAAGACTATCTATTTAGTAATTCAGTATTCGAAAGTAATAATAGAGAAAGTAGTACAACATTTCTCCTCGAATATTTATAAAGCACCGATTTCACATATTTTCATAAACTTCTTTATAACTTAATAATTGATAATAATAATACTAATTGTGATAAAGATAGGAGACGAAAAATTAGAAGAAGTGGCCGATTTCAGGTATCTAGGAAGTCAGATAAGTCAGGACGGAAGGAGTAATAAGGATATAATACAGAGGATAGCGCAAGGTCGAGTCACCTTCAATAAAAAGAAGTCACTTCTATGCTCGCGAACGGTTAGTTTAGAAATTCGAAAAAGGTTATTAAAGGTGTGTGTTTCTGGGGTGCGGTGCTGTGCGGGTGCGAAACATGGACAGTGGGCGCGACTGAAAAGAAAAGGTTAGAAGCGTTCGAAATGCCGTGTTACAGACGAATGATGAGGATACCGTGGACAGAGAAGGTTAGAAATGCAGAGGTATTAGAAAGAATAGGAGAACAGAGGACTATGGAAGTCAATAAGAAATAGGCGAGATATATTGGTAGGACACATTCTCAGGCATGAAGGTCTAGTCAGAGACATATTAGAAGCAGAAACAGATGTTAGGAGTTGCAGAGGTAGACCTAGATTAGATTACTGTTCGCAGGTAGTTAAAGATATGGGTTTTTCTAGTTTTAGGAAAATGCAAAGATTAGCTCAGGATAGGAGAGTAGAGGTACGTGTCCAACCAGTCTTAGGACTGACGACCTTATGATGATGATGACTAATTCTGGGGGTTGGACAGTTACTCTAGACTACGCCGGAGATAGGGCAGATTCTAGCATTTTTCCCTGTTCCCAAAATCCACGATTCGTACCCCTACAGCGCTGCGCTCCAAACATACACCTTCATTAGCAATCTTTTTCAAAATTTCTAAACTAATTGTTTGCGAGCAGAGAAGTGATCTTCTTTTTGTTAAAGGCGATTTGACCCTGCGTTATCCTCTGCATTATATCTCTACTGCTCCTTATATCCTAAATTATCTGACTTCCTAGATACCGAAAATCAGGGGCCATTATAAAATAAATTATATTTTGTAAAACAATTGTTGGAGCTTTATTATTTTATTACTTATATGAAAAGATGGCTGAAGGAATCTGCACGAATTTCCATATTGCACGATGATGTGCCCTTGAAGGGGTGCAAGTAACAGAATACTCCTATGCTTGATTCTCAGTTTGCTTGCACTCTGTATGCAAAATATGTGATATTCACATTTGCTTAAAAGTTTTATTTACCGAAAGCGACAGAACCATCTGCTATAAACAAGACAGCTATGAAGGAACAAAATGTGTCGTGTCCAAACGAACTTAATTGTGTTTACCAACGATGATTGCTTTGACAAGGATGAACAAACAGATTCGATCTAACGTCGACATTTAGACGCAAAGAAAGAATTGCTTGCAGCTTTGGCTCTAGAAGCTTTTTGCAAAGTAAATTCTTTCGCTTTCAAAATCTTTAGCAAACTACTCTATAAGATAATATACTTTCTTCTTTTTACTATTATCATGATTAAATTATACGGGCTAAACTGATTGTAATTGTGGCTATGGCTGTCATTCTAGTTATTTATTTTTTAAATTGCATGTTTATTATTTTATTTTTTTCGAGTTTTCGAGGTTTTCGACTTATCGAGGTTCTACTGTAATATGACAAATATATTTTTATTCTATTTGTTTATATGCATATCACGCTGATAGCCGCTCCATGGGTTCACTTTTTTAATATAGGGGCATTCTGAAAAAACAGAATGCGTGTCGAATATTGTTGAGTAATTGATTTACACAAAAGCTTGGTTCTCACTATCATCTGGATGATGGCTGGCAGCCGTCCGTCGGATGTCCGTAAAATATTATCAGTTTAATAAAGATTGTATTGTATTATTCACACTATCCATGTATGTCACGGCTAGTCCACGGAGCGGCATGGCCTAGAGGTCTAGACTCTAGACCATTGCTTAGCATTCGGGAGGATGCCGGTTCGATTCCGGGTTCGTTTGCCTTGGTTCTAGTTTTTCTGTGGTTTCCTTGGATCACTTAGGTAAATGTTGGGGCAGTAATATTTCATAGATAATCTTTCATTCTCTTCTGTCTTCATTTCGTCCGTCGCATCTTTCTCACCTGAACCACCACCCATCATTTCCCACGATTCCTGAAAGGAGGCTGAAAAGGGTCTTCGGCCCTACCTTCTGGCGTAGTCCAGAGAGACTGCCCGCCCACCAGCATTAGTGGCTGGTGGGAATGAAACACCCAAACTTTTTTTTTCACGGATAGCCGGGGTCTGCCAGTGATGGATATGGTAGGAGAATGTGACGGTGCCTGTTGGTTGACTAATAAGAATGCATTCAGTTTGTTAGTAACCAGCAGAGGAGTGCTATTAAGTGAAACCATTAAATTGACATTTAAACATTCTGAAGTACTTATGAAATTTCATTCCATCATCTAACAATTCCTTATACAATGTGAAAAAATCCCTTTCAGTTTTTCTGTCCGATAAACTTTTGTGCAGGTGTCCATTTTCTTGACTTTCCAGCTTTTCTTGTTTTCCTTTTCTTTTCCGTCTCCTCATCTTCTTCAAGTAAAAGAGCAACAACAAATTAGAAAGCGAATAATTTTTAAAAATTGTTTCGAAAACGTGCTAAATATCCAAAACTTGCCGAAAAACTGATAGTCAGTTGTTGTATAATGTGAATCCAACATTAAGCTAACGGACATCTGATAACGCACGGCCTGCCGCCGTTTATAGTCAGACAGTGAGAATCAGCCTTAAGATTTCGATAATGTTAGAGGTTGTTCAGAATCTCATGTGACAAAACTCTTCTCGCTTGTACTTCAAATTGTTTATTGGTCACAACAATTCTAATTACTTTGAACAATTAAAATTAATGTCATCGGAATATTCAGACGAATAAAAGCTAGTTTGGGATTAAAAATGAAAATATAAACATTAATTTATTTATACAAACCACTAAACACCTTTGCTGTAGTCCTTTAAAATGAAGGTGTCTAATGTAATCTAACATACGTGACGGGCACGTAAATCAATAGAGAACATTAAGTTCTTGGTCACTAACTTATCGAAACTACCAGACTAGAACAAATACTACAATTAGTAGCTTGACTAGCGATTTATCAAAACTGAGTATGGCGTGCTGATGAGAACTGTTAAGTCCGAAATCGCAATTTACTTGTGGTAGGTTACATTTCTCTCTATACCTCATAAATCCTGTTAACTTGGGTAGTGTTACTGTTTTTATGCTACAATTTAATTTGATACATGATTGCAATTTCGTCCGACGGGACGTTTTAATTTAAATGATTTACTATTAATTTTAGGTCAATATCCGGCAACCGTATCAAGCATATTCCAGGAGGTCTCCTGCAGAAGACGCCTAGTTTGACGCTCCTGGAACTCCAGGGGAACCCCCTAGCCGGCGTCGACATTCATTCTTTCGCCTTCCTTCCTCGTTTGCGCAAGCTGCAAGTATTATGTTCCTTCCAACAACACATTATTTAGAAACTACTAACAAATTTTTAACACTATTATTAATTACTTGTGTAGAAAATTTTTCTTTCTTGCAAATTTAACATTGTAGATCTGACTGACCGATTTTATTCACATTGAATTGAATAAGTAAATTAAACAGGAATTGGATTGTATTTTAATTCAGTTAAAGTAGAAAAAGGAAAACGAAAACGTTAATATTTAAATTGATGTTAATCCGATAAACTTTATGAAAGTTTAATTTGGTTGATTCGGAAGCCACACTGTTAAAGAAATCGGTTTTGCGCAAAAAAATAGCTGTTCCTGACACATAAAAATTCGATTTGGTAAAGCTGTTAAACATTACCAAAATAGACAGGGGCGGATCGTGAATTTGTAGGGCCCTGGGCTCATACTACTTAGGGGCCTACCTGATTTCTTAACTAATTGTCATTTTCGAGCAGAGAAGTGATCTTCTTTTTGTTAAAGGCGATTTGACCCTGCGTTATCCTCTGCATTATATCTCTACTGCTCCTTATATCCTAAATTATCTGACTTCCTAGATACCGAAAATCAGGGGCCATTATAAAATAAATTATATTTTGTAAAACAATTGTTGGAGCTTTATTATTTTATTACTTATATGAAAAATTAATTGGTCTCGGGAGACTAAC